AACTAATTTTCACAACCCTAAAAACACAGGAGCATGAAGAGCCCGCAGTAGGGCCATACAAAAAGAAAGGGGTTGTTGCTTTTGTTATTTGGTCATTAGGGTTTTTATGAATTTTTTTTAAAATATTTTATTTATTTATTATGTATACAATTTTCTGTCTGTGTGTGTGCCTGAAGGCCAGAAGAGGGCGCCAGACCTCTTTACAGATGGTTGTGAACCACCATGTGGTTGCTGGGAATCGAACTCGGGTCCTTTGGAAGAGCAGGCAATGCTCTTAACCACTGAGCCATCTCTCCAGCCCTGAATTTTTTTTTAAAAGGGACATATGGTATTACTTTGTAGTTCAGGCTGTCTTCACAATCACAATCTTACTGCCTCAGCCTCCCAAGGTGCTTGGATTACAGGCTTCCCCATGCCCAACAAGATTATGTTTTAATTGTGAAAATATAAAAGATTAAACTAGTGTCATGACTAAGAAGAAGGAATGGTTAAAAGCTCCCATGTGACTGTGTTTAGGTTTTTTTTTTTTTTTTTTTTGGAAGGGGAGGGTTGTCTCTAGAACCAGGCAATGGAGTTAATGGACTTTTGATTGGACTGCTCGTGAAAACTCATGGCAGCTTCACCGAAAGCGATGTATTTTGCCAAATCAGTAATGAGTCTGAGAATACTGTCAGAAGCTACACAGAAGTCACAGAAATCAGGACTCATGACGAGGCCAGAGAGCAGGAGAAGCTGCAGAATCTGAGCTGGGCTCTGTCCAGCTTCATGTGATGTAGCATCGCCCAGAAGTGAGAGAAAACAGAAGGAGCCAAGCCTCAGTGCCTAAGAACAGAGAATGAGTTTTCTCTGGCCTGGAAGCAGCGCCATTTTAAGAAAAATATCTTAATAAGTGTAAGAATAATATTTTTTTTTACTTTTCAAATATGTCAGCTTTGTATTAAGGATAATGTTATACCTCAACAAGTAATTTTGTCAGCAGCCTAGCTTTAGGAAACCACCAATGATCACAAAAAAAAAAATTTAATACACCGGTTAGTGTGTTTTCCAAATGGTCACAAGGATTACTTTTTAAATATTTCTAAGAGACAAAGAAGGAAAAAAGTTGGAGTTGTCTGCTTGATGAGCAGGAAATTTAAGGTGGTGAAGTTAAGATATATGTGGCTACCAGATTAATTTACTTCTTAACCCGTCAAAGCCCCTGAAAGTTCAGGGAGTGTTCTTAAAACTGAATATGACTTTTATCCTGTGGCTGTGATGGCCAGAAGCTAAAAAGGAAGACAATGAGACAGGCCCTGAATGTGAAGCACAATGAACCCCATCTTTCTGTCTGCATGCACTGAGGGGGTGTGACCGGTGACACGCTGACAGTGACAAGTTCCCGAGCATGTATGCACCCTGTCCCCCACCCATTCCAAACACACACATAGAACCAGAAAGGGACTTCAGGAAATGGTAGAGTATTGGAGATCCTACGCCTGGAGCTGAGATATTGAGGTGTTTTGTGAGTTCTAGTCAGACCTAGAAGATTCCAGAGTTAGCATAAATGAAAGTCACAATCTGTTGTTAGATGGCTGCCCATGTATATGCTCACATCTTTAAATTTCATCCTTAAACCTTTAAGATGGCTAAAGGTCATGCCGCTTACACAAACAATTTAATATGGGTTGTTCTATTTTTAAAATCAGTCTAAATGCCACAGTCTGGGATTTGTCTCTCTTTGGCTTTCCATATTTAACCGAAGAGGCATCAGCCCTGCAGATGAGCCTAGTACCATTACCAAATGATACTGTATCCACAGGAGGTAGGAAACACCCCCTGGGAAATACTTGTCTACTGCTTCAGTCAATTTGAGTGACAGAAGGGGGTCTAAATTGACTAGTAAGCCATCCCATTTGTGAATATACTGTGATGTTTGTAAGACATTTACTACATAAATCTCACTGACAAAACCTGGTGTTTTAGATGCTTTAACACTTACATCCCTTGGGTCTGCTATTCACATAGATATTTTCTTGCTTCTTACTCTCTAGTTTTCTGAATCTATACCAACAATGTGGTTAAGAAACTTCTGATTTTCACGCACTGAGAGGACAGCAAGTTAGTGAACTGATTTCAGAATTTTATCGGGGATGAGGGCTTCTACGAAGCATCTTGTTTCTTGTCTTTCTCTTATTTGGGTGTACAAACATGGTATTTAGAGTTGAAACACCAAGGTTGTAAAGTATAAAAAGACTGTACTCAAAGTGAAGCCCTGGCCTTCCTAAAGGGAATAGCCCTACTTGTTCCTCCTTCGATCATCGTCTCTTTTATAGTGCACGAGGCAGGCTGAACCCTGTGCACTGAAAAGCCAGATATATATGCGTTGCCTGTTTAAGTACATATTACAAAAACGACCACGTGAGTCACAGCCTTGTTCAAGGTCAAGCAGATCAAGGCAGAACCAAACTCCCATTGAGTGTTCCCACCACCAACATCAAGAGCTTTGATTTTTTTTTTCTCTTCTTAAAGAGCTGCTGAACAGCATCACATGACAGCCAGGTAGAAGTCATTCTCCATATCTTCAAAGGCATCCCTGCACTCTCTGAAACACAGTGTTCTACAGCAAGAAGGCTAGAAATCAGCTTGAAGACCCCATGGGGAAGGAACAGGGCACAATGGTTTTCACTTGCATCCCTGAATGTCCAACACCCCCAGAATGAAGGTTGGTGTCGGTTCAAAGTCACTTACCCAAATCTGAAGCTTGATTCTCTTTTCATTTTTGAAAACAGTTTTGACTTTGAAATCGATGCCAACCGTGCTGACAAACGCAGAGGTAAAGGAGTCGTCCGCGTAGCGGAACAGGAAAGATGTTTTTCCCACGCTGCTATTGCCAATGATCAGCAACTTGAACATGTAGTCGAAGTTCTGGTCAGAAGAGGAGTCCTTCTGGCCAAACCTGGCATCTTGTGCAGAGGCCATCTGCGGGGAGTCAGGCATGGATCAGTGTCCCATTCGATACAAAGCTAGCAGCACACTCAGTATTGCCCTTGCCAGAAACAGATGTCAGAGACTCAGGAGGCAAATAGAGCGCGCTCCCCAATCCCCCTCTGATACTGGTATCCATGGCAATAATTCCCAGCTGGAAAACAGAGCAGCAAATCTTACAGCTCTTTCCAGCTGTGCTGGTGCTTGTCACTGCTCAGCATTCACAAGCAATCAAAGACACCAAAGGCAACATCTCACAAAGTAACATGAAAAAGCCAAGACAGGGGAACTGGCAGGGCATGCGAGCTCTGAAGCTTTGTACTCTCAGTTAGGAGGACTCCAACCTGGCTGAGCGGGGCTTATTCCTGAACATGTGAATTATTAGTCTATAAAAAATTCCAAGCACATCTCTATTTTATCTAATAACATCATATCATGTCTTCATCCCCACATAAATGTCAACTTCCTTAAAATGAATAATAATGATACATTCATATGGTTCAAAATGTAACAGGCATTGTTCACTTATTTAATCCTCATAACATGAGGTAGGTACTTTATTCCTACTAAAATGAGAAAATTGAGCTTCAGAAATATGAGACAGTGTACTCAAGTTTATCCAGATGGTAAGTCGTAGAAGCAGGGTTCCAACCAGGCAATTGGTGCCAGGGAACACATTCCTGACCTCTGACCTATTTTCTGGAGACAGAGATAAGCACAGTAACCTAGAAGGGCACGTGGAAGGCATTTCTGGACAGACGCATGGGCTATTCTACCTAGGGCGAGGCATTGGTTCTGCCAATTACCAACTGTGTGAAGTTGATTTTATTTTTAGTTTTCTTCATTATATACTTGTTTTTTGAGATTTGAGATTTGAGAAATCTGTTCGTGCATACAATGTGCTTTGTGGGTTTACCTAACTGATATGCTATAATTTTCCTCTTCACATAAAGAGAAAATGGCACACTACCTACCCAGGATGCTCATGGAAGGAATGGATAATAGACCTATAAATCATATCTGTAACTCAGTATAGAATAGAGATCGGTTTCTTGTTTTTTAAATGTCTTAGGTAGATGATTATAATTCCTCATCTTTGTGATAATTTTAATATCTACCAAAGCATCGTTGTGTCACTTCAAAGTACCATTGGCTTGGGAGAGAAAAAAAAGGCCATTTGCTTCAGCACCTTTCCGATGCTATGAATTATTTGGGCAATTGCTCTCCCAGTCAACGTGCTAGCCACTAAGCACATATGGCAGTTGAAACTATACTAAAATTAAACAGAATTTAAAATGTGGTTTCTTAATTACACTAGCCACATTTCAAGCGTATAAACCCATGCACACACACCCGGCCGCTAATGTACTGGATAGGTATATACAAAACATTGGCATCACTGCCGCACGTTTTCCTGAAAATGCTAGGCTAGACAGTCTGTTTCCCATCAAAGCTGGTTAATATTTATCACATCTTCTCTTGTGAAACCCAACGAATTCAGTGATGGTGTTTCTGTGACGGAAGCTTGGTTCTCTGTCTGAGGTAGTAGAAACTTCAGCGGTGGGACCTCGTTAGTACAAGACAGCTCACTGGGAACACTAATTCTCAGATGAGAGCAACATGAATCAAGGGACCTGGCTGAATTTCCACAACAGCGTGTTGTTGCAGCCAAAGCAAACCTGGCCCCTGAATTGCTCTGGTTTCCTATCTCACCCAGTGACCTCTGACTCTTACATGTATTCACATCGTGATGTCATCCCGCATTTCATGACCGCAGCTGGAAGACCCTCCCTAGAGGGCTTACAGAGGCCGACGCCATGTATCTGGACCTCTAAAATATGATCTCAATACACATTGTTTTAATAAAGTTTCTAGCACCAGGTCTTTTGCTGCAGCAACAGAAAATATAACAATCCTAGAAGGAGGAGTACAGAAGCAGCTCCAGCGAGGAGTGGACCAAAACCAAAACACGGCACTTGAGCTCATCTAAGACACCTAAGATGATGCTGATGGTCTGAAGCCAGGGGAAACAGCATGGAGGAGGGAGCCACAGCGGGGAAATGGGATGCGAGAACAGACTACCCTTCTACACAGCAGGAGAGTGCACTTACTGAACTTCATATTCTCTAAACCAACACAGACTTAGGTGTTTCTGATCACAAAGACACATCCAGGGAACAGTGATGACTTGTAGGGAGAGTTTGCAGACAGGCAACACCACCTCCCCCCTGGGAGCTGTGCAACACTTTTCATGTTCGGGTGAGCCTCGCCTAGCACTCATGTTCTGGCAAACCTCGCCTAGCATCGGCCGTCAAACGTAAAGTTGGCTCAAAGTCTATCAGTGTAACAAGAAGTTCTTTAACAATGAATGGCGTCCAACACCCTAATAGGATGGCGATTAGGTTGTGGAGGTTGTTGTTGTTTAATTTTGGCACTGACATCCCTACAAATAAAGTCCTTGCACCAGTTACTAGCTTCTAGGAGATGCCACTCCAGCATGTCTGCAGGTTCCCTTCATTAACAAGGTCCTTTGATATTTTGTCTTGAGCCAGCTTAAGTTCTGGATCAGGATTTAGGATATTCAACTAAGCCACAGTCAGAAAGAGAGTTTAAACTTCACAGGGCTGCTCGGCCTATTCGCCTACCACACGCTCTGCAGCCCAGAGCTGTAAGGAGCCATGCCAACAGGGTTGTGTGTTCTACAGGCTGCCTTAAAAGAAAGCATGGTACAGGTGACTGCTACAAGTGAAGTTCTATGATTCTAAAACTGAGGCAATAAAGGCATCGTGAATATAGAGAGCCTTTAATGTAATTGTTAATATTTAGTTGGGGATATGAGATTTACCTAGGAAGTGCCAGCCCTAAGTTTAAAGGCTAATCTATCTTGTGTGTTGGAAGTAAACCACAGGATGGGAGGGTATTTAGGAGGAGGGCAGTGGCACTGGGGGACTATGTATAATGCAGAAGAATTCTCCTGATGGCAGTAATTTGGGGATTTTTCTTCTCTCTTTTATTTTCTCACTCCTTCTTTCTTTTCTTTCTTCTTCCTTTGCTATTTTAGTTTTCTTTTTCTTATTTTTTGAGAGAGTCTGATATGTTGCCCAGACTGGCTTTAAAGCCCTGGCTTCAAGGAGAGGAGTGGGTATGGGATTCCCCTCTGTATACTATGAATACCATTGGTTAATAAAGAAGCTGCTTTGGGCCTATTGCAGTGCAGAATAGGGCTAGGCAGGAAATCCAAGCAGATGGAGGAGATGCCATGTAGCCACTACAGGAGGCAGATGCTAGATGCCAGTCAGAACCTTACCAGTAGGCCACAACCACATAGCGATACACAGATTAATAAAAATGGGTTAAGATATAAGAGTTAGCCAATAAGAAGCTTGAGCTAATAGGTCAAGCAATGTTGTAGTAATACAGTTTCTGTGTGATTATTTTGTATCTGGGCAGCTGGGAAACAAATGGGCAGCATCATCTGCCTACAGGGGTGGGGGCAGGGCAGGGGGGGTCTTTCTGCCTCAACTTCTGAAGTAAGGAATTAATTAGGAAGAGTTTCTAAGATTATTTAGTTTAAAATATTGCTTTTCTTTTACTTTCTCTACTGCTTTCTGATTTATATCATCAATAAAACCCAAAAGGTCACAAGTGTTCATCACAAATGTATGTGTATTTTGTAAAACTTCAGAACAATGAAATAAATTCTGGTTCTGAAGATTGGGAGACAGCTTTAATCTCATTAAGAACCAAAATTGGTGTGTTCACTCTACAGCAGCGTTTGAATGTCACTGGGGCTTATACACAGTAACTATGCAAATTTACTGGCATTTCTAAATACTAAGTTGTTTGAATATCCTAGAAATTTTATGGGGAGATAGAATTGAAACTTGAAAACATGGGTAAGAAGGCTGTTACCTATTAGACAGTGAGTCAGATTTAATAAAACATCTATATTCACACTCAAAATTTATGAAGTATAATCAAAATAGTAAGGTTATTGTTTACATTTCTATAAAAAATTTTTCTATTAGAAACTCAATCATAATTCTTCTTGGTTTTTCTGAACAATAACTACAAATGAGTCCTATTAAACTCTTCTAATACTCAAATCTTTCAACCCAAGAATGTTCATTTATCTTTAGTTTGTAACATAACATGTTTCTAGTTTAAATGGAGCCAATTGTGAGCCTAGATCGGACAATCCAATGACTGAAATGAATGACTCTTGTATTGGAATTAACAAACACTATAGATCACAGAGGAGTCACTAAACTTGAAGATGAATCCATAGAAATCATACAATGCAACAAAGAAGAAAATGAAAATAAGCAGAACCTCTGCAGCTGCTGGGTCAGTATCACAAGTCTAACATGTAACTGAAGGCTTAGAAGAACAAGGAGTAGAATGATGCTATAAAAATATATATAAAGATACTAAATATTCTCTAACTTGTTGTAATGCATACATGTCCATTTCTGATGAGGTCACTTCAATCCTCTAAGTCCAAAATACAATGGAAAAATACATGCATATCAAAGCTAAATAGAAATATATTCAATTCAAACCAAAGGAAACATGACATTATATATATTACAATAATAAGAAGAGCAGATGGTTTCACAACATAATGGAGTCAGTAAACAATGAAATAATACACTGAAATTCACCACTGGAAGAAAGAAAAAATAAACACAAAATTTGATAGGAATTAAAAACTCCCATTCAAAAATTCAAGAAAAAAATACCAAAAAATCATATAAAAAAAGCCTGATCAAATGTGCTGACAGAGTCCAGACTATACGTAAAACTAAAAAAAGTTGAAAGGAAATAATACCACATAGACACTCAGATCAATGGGAGGAATACTAGACATCGTGAAGAGGTGGCAAGGAAGTGTGTGTTTGTGTGTGTTTAATGAAAAAACTACATGTTTAAAGCTAAAATTATAATAAGTGCAAGTGTAATATACATGAAACCATATCATGCAAATTCACTATAGAGTATTTGGGGATATTATACAAAATCAAAGCTGATTGTTTAGCTTTGTATTGTGTAGTCTTTTGAATAAAGACTAAAAAAGTAAAAAGGACCACATTAAAAAAAACACATACAAAGGAATCGAAATGCATAAGAAATTTAAGTAAAATGATGGTAAGAAAGGAATATCAGAGGAACAGAAAAACAAAGTATAAGACAAATAGCAAATTATTGCTTTCAATTCAACAACATAAATCATCACAATATATGAAATGATTCAAAATTATAAATAAGAGGCAAAGATTTTTCAAACTAGATACAAATGTGAGGCCCAACAGACACTGAACATATGACATGTAAGCATAAAAGCATAAACGTTGAAAGCAACAGTAGGAGACTTGTATATTATCTCATGACTTACTGGTCATGTGGTGGTCTCAGGAAGCCTTGGAACAATGCAGGTGATAGGCATTGTTCTTCCCTGTCTACAAGAACTTGGTGACACTGTTGCTGGGGACACCAAACTTAAGTTACAGGACTTAGAGGAATCAAGCTAGTACTGACTGGGAAGTTCCCCCTGCTTGTTAGCTTTGATTATACTTGATGCTTTTCAGTCTCGTGGAGGTGAAAAGTCATTACCAATTTTATAAAACTTCAAGTCCTACAATCCACAAAACTGGTTTGGCAAGATAAGCCTATGGGTGTAATAATGGCATAAATGTTACAGAGGTAACCATTTCTTTCTTTTCCTTCCTTCGTTCCTTCCTTCGTTCCTTCGTTCCTTCGTTCCTTCGTTCCTTCGTTCCTTCGTTCCTTCGTTCCTTCCTTTTTTGACTTTCAGGCTTATTCCACTGAAGGTAACTTATGACTAGTACTGTACATCAGGCCATGAACCTGCATTTAGGGAGCTCAGAGGCCCTAGAATGGAGTCTACTACTATTTTTCTAAATAGACATACTATCAAACTCCCCTCTAAATACTTATATCTATACCCATAGATTAGCACAACTCCCAGTTCTCATCTGAGAAATGACCAATAATAATAACTAAATAATATACTAAATTATAAATCCAAGTTCTTGAACTTAAAAGAGTAGAAATGGGAACCCATCCTCGTAGTACCAAAGTTAAGTTGCTCTTTATGCTAATTCTCTCTGCTCCCTATTTTTGAACAGATGATACTCAAGGAATGAGTAAAAAAAAAAAAAAAAAAGAGGGAAGACTGTCTCACCAGCATCAGTGAGAAATCGGTGAAGGATAGGGACTGTCCATTGCAGAGGATGAAAAGAGTCTGGCATCCACACATAATAAAATGCAGGAATGTCACAACCTTTCCATTGCCAATACAACAGTAATATCTGGACAATAAGTATCACTTGGCTTATGTATAACCGGCTTGTTTTGAACACTGTCTTACTATGATCACCTCAGAATCATCTCTGATCTATGTGTCCATTGTTTTCTTACTGTGGCTTATCTTTAGCCAGCTTTTTCCCAGTCTGTTCCAGTCCTTCAGCATGCATTTTTGTTTGAAGTTCCCTTATTTATAAGAAAGGTCTGCTTTTATCAGATAAAACTGAGAACTAAGAAAAATTCTAAACGTGAGAGACAATGGATCTCACTTTAGTCCTATAAGAAAGAAAATGAAACTACAGGAAATTATAAGAAAGATAGATAGTAGGACACTTTTAACACAATGGCCTTTCACAAATATTTAGTTCATGTAAACTTATTTTATAAACATAAAATAGAATGAATATATTTTTCTTTCTTCTCAACCAAATGAATGAGTAATGTTTTTCTCAACACAATTCTTATCCTTCACACCATACATTTATACCTTCTGGAGAAACCAAAATAATAGGAGAGGATATGAGCTTTCTAGATAGAATCAATCTGGCAGAATTTTAACTCTTCCATATTAGAGAAGTTATCTAATATTAATAAAGTCCAGTTGCCTTGCTTTTAAATAGGTAATGGTGACTTGTACAATTTTAAAACTTATTTGTAAATATTTGGCTCAAATATAGCCATGCATATGAGGGTTTATACATATATACAGGGATGGTGACATCTGAATGCAAAGCTCTGTGGTTGACGCAGGCAAGCACTGAGTGGACTGGAGTTATTTTTTAGTCAGCTCCTGTATTAAATTTTTTCTCAAAGTCTTGTCCTCAATCATGAGCATTACTGTTCCCCATGTCATTTGACCTCCAGGATTTATCAATATGTTGAATAAAAAGACTAAATGACTACCATTAATGCTCTCAACTGACCATGCTTACCAAATGCTATCCTTAATTAACTAATTAAGTAAGGTAGTCATTACTTATTGTGATAGTAGTCACTCCAAGAAACAAGAAATTTCTTATTTTCTGTGGAGAAAAATGCTGTGGAAAATATTCTAGGATCAAAGACAATTCCAAATGAAGTCAACACAAAGCCATCTATATAAGAACATCAAATGCTTTGTGATAGATATTGTGTATTTTTCCAACGAATTTTATTTCAGGAAAAAAAATCATAGTATTTAGCTATCCAATAAAGCAAAAGCTCATTTTGTTCCACATCAGCAACGGAACTAAATGCTCCCCCCCCCAAAAAAAAGCAAAAAAAAAAATCTGAGATTAGGAAAATATAAAGTGAGTCTTCCCTTGTGACTCATGCTTCGTAAGTGTAAGTAAAGAAATATTTCAGACATTTGTTTCAAGTGATTGCACAGCTTAATCTTTGAAATGAAAAAAGGAATATCTACTATTTCTAATGTTGCATCTTTGTGTTTCAAAGTCACATGGAATTTGATTCTAGTTTAGAAAAAGGGATCCTGAAAGAATAGTTGCTGCTTTAAAACAATCTAAATTATGTTTATACTATTAATTACTATACAATTTTAAAAATCTGAAAATGATAGAAATCACCTTAGCAACAATGTATTAAAATGAATCAAGGTGTGTGCTTGAATTAAATATACTTTTAACAAATCTGAATTTTTAAAATGGATAAATTCACACTGGCTTTGGGAACATTATGTTTTAAATTCCAAAAATATAACCCAGTGAATTGAAAAACATCACAAATAGGAAAGCATCTGTATCTCTCAGAAAATTGATTCCATAGTACCTAATTTTTACAATAATTCACCATTAGAGTTTTCATTGAAGTTCAGCTTTACAAGACCTAGCACATATCTGACGGATATATACACAATAATTTAAAATATGTCCTAAAGCACTAATTTATTAGAATCTGCAACATTTCATTACCTTTTTGGATAGTCTAAGCAATACAGAAAAATAAAATCAATATACAATAGCTATTTTATTTGTCATTCGACAGAAATCAGTGGAGTCAACTTTAAATTCTAATTTACATTATTTTTTTTTATTTTTCAATTTTGGAAAACTATGAGTTTAGGGGTCAGCACATAATATTTTGATATAAATGTATACAAAGCGAAGAGTGATAACCCAGTTTTAAAGACACCTGCCAATATTTACCTATCATCAAATATGATTAAATCAGTTAGTTGGCTCTTAGCAACATCTCCAGTGAGGGAAATTATGAGCTATTATATCTTGATTGCAACAGTCTTTATTGTCTGTCCACACTCATTTTGCATCGGGTCTATAATAAAAAGCTAAGTCACAAACAGAAACATCAGATGCCACACAAAGGTTCTACTTACTATTCCTGGGCACGAATTAAGTTTTCAATAACTCTTAAGGCAATTTGAGATCTTCCATTATATAATACTCCAGCAAATAATTAAATTCTATAATGCCTTCATCTAAATTTCCAGATAGGATTCCTTAGCATATGTAACAAAGTAAACAAAAAGTATATCAAAGCAGATGTATAAAGCCCTTGATTCGTGAAGAAAGCATGGGAAATGTTTGAGACTGGGTTGTCAAATATTTATGCCACTGAGTTTGCCAACCGTATGCAACTGAGTTTGGGTTCGGAAGGGAGGCAACACTTTCCAAATGGAGTGATTTCGTCTCCTCTCAACCCATTCATAAAACGCCTTTCTGTTATGCAACGAGCTCGCTCTGCTTAGTTAAGGAACATAGACTTATGTCTAGCTTTAAGCAGCTGTGCACAGAAAGGAGAAACAACATTGGTCTTTACTTAAAGGCATAACTTGTGAGTAGCTCCAACAGGGGTACTTTTCCTTTCTGAGAAGAGTAAGCCCAAGGATGTGATTAAAAAGGGGAATCTGAGAGTACAGGGAACGGCTACCTTACACTGGAATGCTGGCGGAAAGAGGGTCCTTGACACGGAGCTACTCAGTTAAGTAGACATGTGTCAAGGATAGTAGGGCTCTGAGATAAAAGAGTAAATGTGTTTTCTCTTTTCCTTTGATACTGGGACTCTGATTTTAAAAAAAATATATATACACACACAAAAGAGGACTTGGGAGACACACTGCTTCTCTTTCTTAACGAATCTCACTTAATTCATGTGACTGAAAAATCTCCAGTTTACACCACTATCACGAACCTAGGAAGCGAAGGACATCAAATCCAACAAGAGATGGTCTGTCCTGACTTTGTTAGCTCGGGTTTTCATTTTCCACACTCAGTCTCCTTAAACCCGAAAAGATACTGAACAATCCTACCTATCTTTCATGAAGACATCCCCTGAGCGACTGGAGAAACCCTCTCTCTATTTCTCCCGAGACCACTCTTTCTTTGTAGACCCACCTGCATGGGCGCCTCGTGTCTCATTGTAGGCAAATGTCCTTTCTCTCTTGCTAGGACAGCGCTGCTCCGGGCGTCTGGTCAAGCGTGCACAGCCCGCGCGCTCCCGGCAACACTCCAAACGCGTGGGGCTCTGTAGCCCGCTCCAACATCAGCACCGGAGCTGTCCGCTCCTGACTCGGCACAGGCGTACTGGCCAGAACCCCTTGCGCTTCTGGGAGTTGTAGTCTAGTCTTCAGAGACATCTGTGTAAACGGGAAAACTGTGAACTACAACTCCCAGAGATCCTGCACGCTTCCCTTGGGCTAGTCTCTACAGCGGCTTTCGGCAGCGGAGCCTCCCTTCTTCCCAATTTTACACCGGTGGTTACCGCTCTCAGCCTGCCAGACCATTTCCTCAGAGCACCGGCAAAAAAGACACCAGGTCATCCCAAACCAGAACCTCCTCTTCACAGTATCGCGTTTGGAAGCCAGACTGTATCTTTCTGGCTAGGAAACGCTGCACTTTGTTCTAATTTCCAATGCAAACGGGCGTTTACCTTACCTCTATCCTAAACCCAAAAAGTTTATGCATATCCGGAGTGGACTAGTTTTACAGTTTTATTCAACAATCACGCGGGAAAACGACGATGGATGTCACGCATATAAGAAAAGCGGTTCATCGGCACAACTGCATTGAATAGATCTTCAATCAAGCAACCGCGAACGAACGCACACACACACACACACACACACACACACACACACGCCTCAAAGTACACAAAACCCATATTTCTGGCTGAGCACTCAAAGGCACCCCTTTCTATTTACCTTTCCATACAGCTCCATTGCAACCGGAGGTTCGGAGAGCCTCAAGTAAAGCTTCCCACTCACTACAAAGGAGGCGAAGGTCTTGTGCGGGCGAGAGAGCACAATGGAAAGACTAGGAAGGAGGAGCGGTTTGAGGAGAGCGAATAAGGAATGGAAGGGACAGCGGGCTCGGATGGGTGGCTTTCTTCTTTCAGAAAGGAGCTCAGTAGTCTTCTAATGACAGCTGCAGAGAAAGGGCTGTGAGTCTCCTAGGAAGTGCCAGGGGCGCCCACGTCGGGCAGCCACTCCCGGAGCCCTCCTGGTATACACAGCACCTGAGGGCTACAGAGCTGATAGAGCACTGGGTTATTTACCCAAAGCAAATCATACAAAATGAACACATTCATCACCAGAGCCCAGGAGCGCCTTCACGGAATGAGATGGGAGAGCTCAATTAAGTTACCCGATCTTTTTCTCTAACGTGCAGTTCTCTTCCTTTATATCGCGATCGCTCTCTTCCAGGACCGGTTCATAACATGGCTTTCAAGTCTCTGAACTAACACTCGGGCAGAGCAAAAAAAGAAACCCTCATGATATTCTCATGCAGTCAGGCAAAGGTTAATTTGAATCAGCTTTGAAGTTCATCTCATTGGATAGATCAGCAGAAAGGACGTTCTAGAACTTAAATGTGCTGGAAACATTTTTCGAGGGCTAAAAATTAGCCTTCATATTCTCAGGCCCGATGCCAGAGATTCTACGGGGGACCCACTTTTCCAACACCATCGGCAGAAGGTCTTATACAAGTAGTAAGTAATTTCTTTTCTGTAATTCGAGCAACACTGCTTTAAAAGGATTTACATGAAAGATTTTTTTTTTCAAATGCACAAACCTCAGAATTTCCTTCTAAACTCCCAGTGTGGCAATAATGATGCAGTGTATACCTGATATAGTAAAACCGCTGGTGTTCTTAACTTTTTACCTTTGAAATCTGTCTTCTGATCCCTGATACGTGAAAATACAATGTGGCATCACCCAAATGAATATTTTTATAACAACTCAAAAGAATATTTAAAAAGAACTACCTCTTAGATGAGTTATGTGATAACTAGAGTAATTTAACTTAAAAACTGAAAATAGGGACAGTGTGCAAAGGTGTCTCCTGCCTAGCCTGATGAATTGAGTTAAATCCTTGTGCCACACACAATGGATGGAGAGAACAGGCTCCAACAATTATCAAGTTATCCTATGACTTTCACATGTGGTTCGGGGAGCTTAAAATCTCTCTTTTCTCTCTCTCTCTCTCTCTCTCTCTCTCTCTCTCTCTCTCTCTCTCTCACACACACACACACACTAAACAAACAAAAATAATAATGTGTAATGAAAAAATTTTAATTTAGTCACTGCTTTATGGCTATAAAGAGACACTATGACCAAAGTAAGAACTAGTTAGCCTGAGTGATTACTTAAAAGTGGCTGCAGGATGGGGTGGGACAGAGAAACCACTGTTTATATATGGTGCCTGTTATGAGGCATGAACCCACATAAGACTTAAAAAAGCTTTAAAAAGGTTCTAGACAAAAAAAAGGTTCTAGACACATTGTTATTTATAACAACCAATATCTTTTTGATAAGGAAAGGGGGATATGATACAGAAATGATGGAAAAAATGGTAGAATGTGGAATCTACTTTAATCTAAAAAGCAATTGTTAATCTCAAAATATTTTACATTGATTTGGATTTTAATTTATTATCATAAATTTAAGGTTAATTTTGTTATACTATGTGAATATTTCTTGTTTAAGATATTGTGTTTATAAATCTGAATTTAAAATGTAATGACTAATTAAGAAATACAAATTTACACAAATACCATTAGTCATCTACAACATTCAAACTTATAGTCACATTAGTTAAGTTTTCTAGATATACAAAGATATATTTCAGATAGATAATCTTCAAACATTTCAAAGACCTACAAAATACAGCTTTTTAAAATGTTTTAATAACTTAGACATTTCATGACAGTGAACAATTACTGCTGACCTTTGCCAAGACAAGGTAGGACAGTCCTTCAAAATTCCCTGCTATCAGGAAAGTCTGTCAGATATGCTAGGCCTACAGACCACAGACAGATGCCCCAATGTTACAGACAACCTTGGATGACTGTTCAGGCATCCAGTTGTTTCTATCATTTCTCACATCTTTTGGAAGTCACTTGCTTATAGTTCCTGCTTATGCAGGTGATATTATTTCCTTCTAGGGTCTTTGATATAGTTGAAGACTGAGAGTTATAATAGTTTTTCTTAGTTATGATAAAAAGATAAGTTAGATACAGAACTTTAAACTCACCAAGTTAGGATACATAATTAAATATTTTCTTTAATTTTCTCAAATACAGATAGGCTAGATACTGTAACTACAATTCTTACTTGATAACTGTTTTGTTTTCTGTATTCTTACTATGTTAAAGTTAAAAATCTTCCTTTTTGATTAGACAGAAAGGGGGATAAAACCCTTCTGTTTGTTGTGAATATATGCTGTTCTCATTGGTTGAAAATAAATGCTATTTTGGCCTGTAGTGAGGCAGAATATAGCTAGGTGGGGAAGCCAAACTGAATACAGGGAGAAGAAAGCAGAGTCATGGGAGATGCCAGTCAGTCACAGAAGCAGCAAGATTTACTAGACCATTCATAAAGCCACAACCACTTGACAATACTTAGATTAATAGAAATGGGCTAATTTAAAAGTAAGAACTAGTTAGTAATAAGCCTGAGTTATTTGGCTGAGCATTTTGTAATTAATATTAAACCTCTGATTGATTATTTAAAAGTGACTGCAGGATGGGGCAGGACAAAGAAACCTCCATTTACACTTATCTGCAGCCAGTAGAAAGAGAAAAACACCATGTCTGGGCAGGCACAGGTTTTTAAAACCTCGAAGCCCACATGACAGACTTCCTCCAATAAGACCACACATACTCCAAAAAGGCCACACACACCTAACTCTTTCAATCCTTCTCAAACAGTTCCACTAACTGAAAACCAAGCATTCACACATATGAGCTTATGAAGGCCATTCTCATTCAAGCCATCCCACCTAATAACAAAATAAATGGTAATTATCAATGTTCAATCATGACAGCTAGTTACCAGAAGGACTTCTGAAACCTTAAGACATATATAAAGGTACATATCTCTTTCTAGTATTTATTTATTGTGTATATAACACACACAAATATACAACACATGGTGTGGGTGTTGAGATCAGAGCTTGCTAATTGAGATCATTGCTTTTTACTACCAATTCTTTGTGAAAGGAACCATTAAAATTGAGATTAAAAACCTAGAACCACTAAAGATCTTTGGGAAGTTAGTTCTGCCAGGAGTCTGCTAAAGGAAAACATAGTGAGCTGGAGCTGAGCATCTTTCTAAAGTCAAAGCACTTTGTTTTTGCTTGAAATCAAGATGCTGTCAACAAGATTTATGCTGGGGTACCAAATGGCTGCTGAAGTTCCAGCTCTTATGTCTATTGTCTAGTCAAGAATGAAATGAAACCTGAGGAACAATGCCCAAACTTTTATATACACTCCATCACTTATATTCTGACATTTATTCTGTCAATTTCATGACCACACTTGTTGCAAGGTAAATTAGAAATATCTATATTCTAGGTATAGCTGTGCCCTGCAGAAAAGTCAGGAAGTTTAAGTAGCAAAAAGGGAAAATATGATCATTGATGGAACAGCTAGGACATTGGAGTGACTATAGTAATAAATGTACTGCTTCCACTCTTTTATATTTATGCCAAAGTGTAAGTGTATAATATAAAATGTACCCATTTCTGGAGATTTTCATAATTTAACAGACACTAAAGCCTTAAAATCAAAAAATTACTCAAAGCTAGAAAGTGTGGTTCTTGTTTAGAATGGCATAAAGGAGAAAGCCTTTTCCTCTTACGTTTGAGTCTGAGGTTATGAGTCAGTACTAAATATGTTAAGGGGGCTGGAGGGAAGGTTCAGCATGGACCTTTCTTTGTTCTTTGTGCCCTTCCAAAGGAACGGTGTTTGCTTCCTGGGACTCACATCTGGTTCTCACAACTATCTAACTGTATTTCCAGGGGATCTGGTACTTTCTTCTGAGCTCTGTTAACACCTTTATGCACCTGGTGCACAGACATGCACTCAAGGTGCACACACATGCACACAAAACAAATAAAGAAATCTGAAAAACACAAGTCTG